GGGGGCACTGACACCAGAGCCTTCGATGAGGGCAGGAAGGCTCAGCGGTGGGGGGGGTCCTGGCATTCTCTCCTGCCCAGAGAATACGAGGAGGGACTCATGGCCCACGAAAGACCCGAGAGGAGGGCACGAGCCAGGGAAGTCAGGAGGAATGTCCCTTCCCTGTCCCTATCCCTTCGCACCCCAGGCTAAGTCAGTTCCCAGGGAGGCTCTCCGGGACCCCACATCCAGCCACTTCCCTCTCCTCCTCCCTAAGTGTCCTTCCTCCCCCACCCTGGCTTCTCTGTTTCCTGGCAAATGTCACTCATCCCCATTTCACAGAGGAGGAGACCAAGGCTCAGGGAAGGTGGGAGACCTGCTCACAGGCCCAGAGGGCGTGGCCACGCCGGGGAAGGCCCCTGGGCCAGGGGTGCTTTTCTGCACCCCCAGCAGCCAGGTAAGCAAAGCAGTTTCACTTACAGGCGCACGGCTGCAGGTAATAATAATGGACTGCGCGTTATAGTCCATGGCTGCTTTCTAAAGGTGCCATTGCCACTTTACCCTTGCAGTGCAGGCAGGTGGGCAGGGCGGGGTGTGTGTGTGTGTGTGTGTGTGTGTGTGTGTGTGTGTGCGCGTGCGCCTGCCTGTGGGTGGCCCTGGCTGAGCCAGCTCTGCCGGGCAGGAGGTTGGACATCTGTCCCGGTGAGGGGGTGTCTGGGAACTGGGCGTGCAGCCTTCCTGCTCGCATCACGCACTGAGTCAGCCCCGCAGCGGCGGTGCGGAGGCTCACCTGTGAGCTGCGAGGGTGCCGGCCCATGGCAGAGCCTGCCCTTCTCCCCGCCGCCCAGATGGAGAGGCTGGCCCCCGTGTCCCTGGCCTCACCGTGCCCCCGGATCCCACGGGCTCGCATCGCCGGGCGCCCGAGGCGCTGTGCCCAGCGCCGGACTGACCTGGGCTACAGGTAAAGGGTTCACAGGAGGAGATGGGGGAGGTTTGGGCCACTGGTGTCTCGGGGCCAAGGCTGAGGAATGAAGGGACCAAGTTGAAGACCTACTGTGTGCCGGAGGTGTATGTCAGCTCAGTTTTTACATCACCCCTCTGAAGCAAGAATTCCCCTCCCACCCTACAGATGAGGAACAGAAGCTCTGAGAGGTCTAGTAAATGGCCCAAATGGGGGGAGGTGTCAAACCTTGGTCCTTGGGACCCCCCAAACCCAGAGCCTTCCTGGGACACAACACTGGCCTGGGCTCCTGCCGCTGGCCTCTTGCAGGGGACACTGATTCTCAGGTTCTTAGAGATGTGAGTGATGCTCAATATGTGCTGTTTCCCCTTCTTTTGGATGCAGAGAGCTTTAGGCACCCCAGGGGTTATTTGGGGCTTGGGATTCAGGACCTTAAGCTATGAAGTCCTGGCTGGATCAGTGTAGCCGTGTGATCACCTGGGCTGGCAACTGTGTCACTCTTTCTGCTCAGGTGCCTCTGACAGCCAGAGCAGAATGAAAACCTCATTTCTCCCCATGCATGATTATGGCATATTACAATATGAATATTATAGAAATTCAAACAGCGCAAAGGTATTCATGCCTATGCCTGAGAACTTACTACTGTTATAATTTTGAGACATGCCTGGGAGAATTCTTTGACGTATATAAACCTATACTTGCACAGTTTTACACAAACGGGATCATGCTATCCTGTGCCTCCAGGCTTCCTTTGATCCCTTAATTAAGGCTATGGCCATCTCTACATGTCAGCAACATAGGGACCTAACTCATTCATTTCAGTGGCCTCCCAGAATCCAGTTTTATGGACATCCTTTGGCTCATTTGAACCAGTTGTGGCTGATGGACGTTTAGATTGGTTCCAATATTTAACAATTCTGAGCACTACTTCAGTGAACTTCTTTGGAGATTTGTGTGGGTAAAACTCATTCCTAGAAGGGCAATTGCAAGTTAAAAAGGAACAGAATTTTGATAGATCCTGCCCAGTTGCCCTCCAGAAATGTTGATGCCTACAGCAGGGAAGCCCCCGCCGCCCCGCTCATTTCCACTCAGGGCCTGAAGGCTGACTGGCCTGTATGTGGAGCGTAGATTCGGGGAGCACGAGATGCTGACCCTAGAACACCTGAGCCCACAGAGGGCCCTGATGCGAGAACGACTCCCGGGCTCAGGGAAGAGGCAGGGAGCCCAGAGGGACAGGTTCATTCACGCAGCATATTCACTGAGCTCCTGTGCATGGGGGCTCTGTCCCATCCTAGGCAAAAGTCACTTAGGACATGTGATTTTATTGAGAATGGATCTTAATAAGCCAAAGACATGTCTGCCTCTATCTATCTATCATCTATCTATCTATCTATCTATCTATCTATCTATCTATCTATCTATCATCTATCATCTATCTATCATCCATCCATCCACCATCCTACCTGCCTATCTAGCATGGCTGTTCCCCTGACCTCCCCCTACCCTCCCTTCATTTCTTGGTTCCTTGAGATCCCCCAGGCCGTTAATAGTGGCCATCACAGAATTCACTATGAGAACACCTGACTCACTGAGTGTGCGAAGTACTTACCGGATGAATGAACAATGAGTTTCGTTGCATTCCCTTTGTTACCTCAAACAAAACAAAACAAGCAAAAATAACACTCTCGCTTCCAGAACAGTAATTTTTCAGACTCCAGAGTTCTGTAAATCTTTTGTTTGAAATCAATCTTTACTACGGTTTTGAGTCTTGAAAAACTAGTAACGGCATCACATACGTCATGTGTTAAATCTCAACTATTTTTCTGTCCATGAGAATTATACAGATCGCATGATCCATAAATGCTTTCGACTGAACTCATAAATGAGTTTATAATTGTGTCATTGTTCTCTACTTTGTTTATTGAAAAGAGATTCCACTGCCAAAAAAGAGAAAAGAAAACTACTTCCCTGAGACAGACAGGGCTGGTTCGTCTGCTCCAGGCCAGTCCTCCAAGTCGCTAGGTCAGTTCTTCCTGCCCTCTGAGTTCCTTCACAGCACTGGTCACTCACTTGTGAGTCACTTATTTACTCAGCACCATAAGCTCCCGGACATCAGACCGTATGTGTTTTGCTCACTTGTGTATCTCCAGCATCCAGTGCATTGTAGGTGCTCACGAGACACTTGTTCAATGAGGAAAATGTCACTGCCTCTACGTGAGGTCCCGTGATGGGCATGGGGACAGGCGGGTGAGTAAGATGCGTCCAGCCCTTGGGATGTCCACAGGCTGGTCCAGGAGGAAGGCCTAGGACTCACGCTAAATGCTGATGAGAAAGGTCTGAGCAGGGGTGACTAGAGTCGGTGCTGTCATCAAGCAGAACTTCCCACAGTGAGCAGGACCCAGAGCTGGCTCTCTATGTGGACTGAATCTTAAAATCAAGCAACGTTGCCCTTGGGAGGAGTCGTAATGACTCTGTAGGGATTCCCTCCAACTTGCTCCTAAATAAAAATATATTTCCTGTTAATTCATGGTTGCTACAAAAATGCAAAACATAGCAGGTGGAACCCACTTCCCCCTGCCGCCTCCAGCCCAAAAGAAGAGTAACTGTGAACAGTTCAGTGTCAATTCTGTAAGAGTTTATGCTTCATAAGTATATATTTACATATATGTATGTGCAAAACATATATGATCTAATGCATGTGAATAACACTCATGTGCCTGTAGCATTCTGTGTTGGACCTTGGCCACGGCTCTGCCAGGGATCTGCACGGCTCTCCGGAGGCCGCGGTATTGCGTGGCTGAGCTGTGCTCTGGTGGGCTGTTCCCTTTTTTGGGGGGCGGGCTGCTGTCTGTATAAACTACACTGCATTGCCTGGGACACATGCCTCTGGGCTCTTACCCTTCTGGTAAATTCCCGGAGTAGGAATCGTCGAGCCCACAGGTCTGTACTTTCAAAGCTTGGAAACATATCACCAAGTGGTTTCCCAGGAAGCTTGTATCTAATCACAGACTCACTTGGTAGGTGCCAGCTTTTGTTTATTTATATTCCTTTTTATTTTATTTTTTTTAAATCCTCACCGAGGATATTTTTTCCATTGCTGTTCAGAGACAGTGGGAGGGGGGGAGAGAGAGAGAGAGACATCGGTTGGTTGCCTTCCACAAGCACCCTGACCAGGGCCAGGGGTCGAGCGTGCAACTGAGGTACGTGCCCTTGGCCAGAATCGAACCCATGATCCTTCGGTCCGTGGGCCGATGCTCTAACCACTGAGCCAAACCAGCCAGGGCTGTTTATATTCCTGACATTCTTGACAGGACATTTTGGCTCTCGTTAGACTTTGCTAATGGCACGTTGTTCTAACCCACCTTTCTTTCACTATCGGTGTGCTTGAACGCCGAGTGTCTGAGAGGCCCGAGAGGCAGGAAGACCCACTGGGAGTCTAATGCAACAGCCACATTCCCTTAATAATAGGTTAAGCGACCTGGCCTATTGCACACAGGTAGTTTGAAATAAGTCACTTACAAATTTTACATATTTTACTCATGTGTAGCCATGAGGTCTCTGCCATCACCATTAATGTCAACCTATCTCTGCAGATACCATGTACCTCTAAACCCCCAGACACCGCCCCCCGAGTGTGACCTCAAGCCCAGAATGGATCACCCGCACACAGTTTAAATATATCGGTAGAGAACAGGCTGCTTCTCAAAGTCCAGCTTCACCGCTTAGCAGATGTGGGACTCTGGGGAGGTTACCTAATGAGCCTCAGTTTACTTTTCTGCAAGATGGTTGCAAATGACAGTCCTTACCTCGTAGAGGGTAAATGAAATGAATACATGGGAAGACCTTGGCACAGTGCAAGTAACAGGGAGTGTACAATCCGTGCCAGAAATTACAGTCCAAGGGAAAGAGTTGGGAGCTGACTCCAGCAGCACAGGTTTGTTTTCATGCGATTAAGTGAATTCAGGCCTCCTGGTGCTTCGGAGTGGCTGAAAGACCTGCATTTGAGCCCCAAATTTTCCACTTACTTCACCCCTCTGAGTCTATTCCTTTATTTGCAAAGTAAGTGTCATTCTTTTTTTTTACTTTAAATTATTTTTTATTTTTCAATTACAGTTGACATACAATATTACATTAGCTTCAGGTGTACAAGCCAGTCGTTCTAACCGTAGTCACAGTCAAGTCTTCTGGAACCCCCACCATGGGGCTGCCCCCTCCGTGCTACAGTCCTTGGGACTGGCTGCAGCTTTCCCCAAAAAGCCCTTCAGACAATTCTCTCACCGCAGGAGGGGCCTGATTCCTGCCCGCACACCCGAAAGGGCAGGTCCCTTCTGCCAGGGCTTCCTATTTCCTCTCTCGCCTCGCTATGGAGCAGAGGGAGAAGACGCATTACCCGGGGTAGGCTGCTCCCTGGCAGCTCTGGGATTCTCCGCCCGGCAACTCCCCGCCCCCCGCATCTCCCCAGGTATTGCTGACTCCACCCAGGTTGGCCAGCAGGTGCCCAGAGAATGTGAGAATTTTATTTCCTTGACAATGTTAGCAATCTGGTGTTAGCAATCTGGTGTTAGCAATCATCTGGTGTTTGCAATCTGGTGTTTGCCAATCTGACAGGTAGAAATATTTCATTGTTTTAATTTGCGTTTCCCTAATGACTTGTGAGGCTGAACGTCTTTTCATATTGAGCATTTTTGTGTTTTACTTTTTAAAAATTAAGTTTATTGGGATGACATTGGTTAATATGAACATATAGGTTTCAGGTGTGGATTTCTATGTTACTAGATCTGTATATTGCACTGGGCCCACCACCCAAAGTCAAANTCACCATATATTAGGACCCCTTCACCCCCACCCCCCACCCCCTTCCTTCTGGCAACCACCACCATATTGAGCATTTTTCTGTTTTATCTTCAGTGACTGCTGACTCATATCTGCTGTTTACTTTTCTATTGGATTTTTTGGAGAGTATTTTTTTCCTTATTGATTTCTAGGAATTCTTTATATAG